GTTATTTGCTAAAAAAAGACATACATAACATTATATCATATGTCATATATAATAATATATAGATCTATTATTTATGTATATCGGGATGCATTATCATTTATTTTATTTCGCTGTGAGAGAAGTGTAAGTGGCATGACTTTCCAACATCCCAATCCTGGCCCGGCCCACACACCTTGTCAAGTGAAAACATGAGTGGGTGGTTGGCGGGTGATCTGGTGTGATCTGTTCCTTCTTGTCAAACATCTCGTCCTTAGAATATAATTAGGCCTAATTAAATCCCTTCTGTCTGTTAATACTCTCTTGTAACATCGGCACTTATATATATATAATTATTAGCATGTTTAAAGCACTGACTAAGACTGAAGTGAAAACAAGTGTTCAGTGTAATGTACTCAGATCTGATGTGTGTTGTTCAGAACTTACAGAAAATGGCAGCCTGATACATCTTTAGTAAACAAACAACAGCATAATGCCGCTCAGCGACATGTTTGGAGACGACATGTCTTTTGTACATGACGTAATTGAGCGTTCTGTGACGTCATTTGTCAGAAACATTGTATCTATTTATAGAATGTAAGCCGGTAAATCTGTCAGAACGGAGGATTGGTTGTACGCGAGGAGGTTACCCTTTGAAGCTCCTAATGGTTGTACGACTTTGAGGGGAACCAAGGAGCTCCTTGAGGGGAACCTGTCGTCTGCTCCGGTAGCTGGGAGTCGGGGAGTGGCATTCAAGGCCACAGTGAGGCCAGAGAGGAAAAAAAGAATACACATATAAAAACATGTGTTTGTGTCTGTCATGTATGTGTGTGTGGGGTGGGGGAGGGGGGGTAGGCCTATTCTATCTTCCTCCGTCCACCCAAGCGGACTGGTGTATGTTTAGGCCTAGTTAGTTTATTTCTTCCTCCATTCCTCTGCTTCTGTTCTCTCTCACGTATTTTTCTTCGATGTTCTCCTGGAATGTCGTTGTTTACCTCCGTCATCAGCCGAGCGTGGAGAGCGATGGCCGTCATCAGGTGACACAACCTAACACAGAAGAATATACTTTTAAAGTTGCGTGAGCGAGAGCAAGGTGCCCTCACTACTGTATCATTTGCTGTCAGCTGATCGTTACTTTCACCTAGGAAGATTACGTTAGGCCATGACGTCGCTGTGTTGTCGCCTCTAGAGTCATCATCATCATCATCATCATCATCATCATCATCATCATCATCATCATCATC